TACATTATATTATATTATATTATATCATATTATATTATATTATATTATATTATATTATATTATATTTTATTATACTATATATTGTATATATTATGCTCTTTCGAAGGCTTATAAGCCTTAAGGCTTTCAAGGTCCGTGCTTCTCATGTTCTCGGGTCCCACTTCTCACTTTCTTGGACGTCACTTGGCAACGCTTCAGCTCTCATATGTGTTGTATAATCGACTACTTTCCGCACCTTGCCGCCAGCAGCATGGAGAATCGTGCTCAACCAACTCACTCAGTCATCCGTGCAGGCGCAGGCACAGTTTGTCATCGACGCCGGGCACCCACAGATTATCTTCAAGACTTTGGTTAGAGCATTCGTTGTGTAGGCCGTTGTTGCAACGTTGTGGCTAATGCAGATCTCGTCCAATCAATTGTGGGGTTGTGTTTTGGCTACCCCGGCCCCAGTCAAAACTATTCTGCCTTCGTGAGGTCATAAGTGTTGACGCTCCCATGGAGCGGAACGAGGAGTTTCACAAGGCGCAGCAACTCGGGTTTCGCAGTTTTGGAAGTTGACCGCGACCAGCTCTTCAGCTCGCCTGCAGAGGTCTGGGACGACAACTTCAAGCTTCCGAAGGTTGGATGTCCTGTGAAGCTAATGTCTGTTCTGAGCGAGTGCGGCTGGCATTCTGCATTGTTGAGGGTTCCGCCAGAATCAAGCTTCAACCCCCCGGTCTTTCAGCTACGTCAACATACTTCTAGCTCCAGCAGCTTGAGGACATCACGCGGTCGATGCCGACTGCACGAAAGTCCTCTTCGCTGAACCTCAGCCTCTCTGATCAGGCAAGGGTGCTCGCGGCACGTGGTATCGGAATGAATTTGGTGTTGTGGGCTTGAAGTTCAGACTGGAAAAATTGAAAACTAAGAAGCAAGAAAGGCATCTGGAAAGGGCCTACGGCTGCACACGAGTGTTTACGGGGCCACTACTGGCACAAAGATCGCCGTGCCGGCCTGGGGGGGATAGGCTCAGGTCAGTGTGGAAGCGCTCGGCAGTCGATGGGACACGTGAGAAATTGGCAAGCGCAAACAGACGTGACGAAAGAGACGGTTTTGTTGTTCCGTGCTTATCTGGTCAGATGGGAAGGTTCATTATGCACAACCCTTTGCGACCTAGGCTGCATCCTGTGGCAACAGATTTGGGGCTTCTTGTTGGTATGTTCTGCAACTACTGGTGCTGTATTGTGCTGACCGGGAGTGGTACGAAGCCTACCGGGATAAACCCACAAACATAAGTGAGGTGATGAGCGTCATTTCGGATTCCTCCTGGCCAGCCACGGCCACTCCATTCGATTGAATCCTTTCTGCTCGACCGCACTCACATAACTGCGTCTCAAACCTGTTGTTGCATGTTGTGGCTCTTGTTTTTGGATCTGAAGTTGCTTTTGTCCAAACTCTCATGCTGTCAGGAGCGAGAGTTCAGAGACTGGGCGACCAAGTACTGGGAGGTCAGCGTAACGATTGCTGCCGCAGTGGACGAACTGCTCGTCTCGCGTGAGGAACGCCTAAGAAGCCCGGCCTACTACGCAATGCTGACACTGTGGGCCAGAGCCCTTGAGCCTTCAAACTCCGAGTTTCAGGACGCTGTTGAGCGCCTCACAAGCCTGCACTGTCCCGTCGATCAGGTCACGTGGCCATTCGCCATCCCTGTGGTTTCCATCATGCGCCGGTCGGGCATGCTCGAGTACTGATGAGAGCTGGGGCCGCTGGCAGGGTCGGTGTGTGGCGTTTTTTCTGGCCGAACATCTTCACACATCTTCATTCTTGGTGTATTTGGGATCGGCACAACTGGCCGAGCTGCCCTGGCAGCCCTTGGGGAAGCTGGGAACCAGCACCGGTTAGTTCACGAGAGCATCCAAGTTGCCTCGGGAAAAAAAACCGCACTACAGACAGAGGACGATTTTTTTTGCTGGGTGGTCCGATCTTTGAGCTGGTGGCTCAAGGCTTTTCCTGCATGACTCTTTTTGCTTGCAAGAAGATCAACAGGCAACCGATGCTTGGGGTTTCAAATCAAGGCCCGATTCTGTGCTAGATATCGACCTTCGAGATTCTTGTAGTAGACATGAAAGATGAAAGAGTGTTCCAAGACTGACGTAGGCTTTTTTAAAGCTGTGCCAGATGATGGCGTGGCTGTAGGGTAGGTAGGCAGAGGAGTGAGAAATATGCCGCCCAAGCTGACGGACGACACACCTGTTACTTTCCTGGAGCACAATCCAAAGCGTGCGGGATCCAAGGCAAGGTGTTCAAAAGGGTGGGGCAGGCCACGAGAATGAAAGGCGTTCCTTCTCAAGTCCCATCAATAGGAAACACGGAGAAACATGGTGTAAATTTCGTGACGTGCATCGTGTAATTAGTTAGCAGGGACGATTTCACCAATGTCTTCCACAAAGTATGTGTACTTGCATCAGGTATGCATCGAGCCAAGCTAGGGACATCCTCCACTAAAGCTCGAAAGAGAGGTCTCAGCGAGTCTCTACGGCCTGGTTAACGTGCTACCGGGCAGGCTCATGAGCGGTTTCAGCGCTACAAAGTCGCGAAAACAGTAGCGGAGGCTGGGAAGTGTGGTCCATAGATTTGAATTGGGGTTGGTGGCTGCTGAAGGCTTGGTAGACTAAGTTGCACCTGCAGCTTTTCTATGTCGCGAGGCGCTCCGACTAGGTGCAAGCCGAAGTGACATCACAAACGACATCAAGGCTGGATTCTGCACCTCGGGCGCACTTCCTCCCAAGGAGGCCCAGAAGAGGCCCCTGGATTCTGGCCCTCTACCGAAGGCGAAGGTGCAGCGTGAGGAGGGAAGACAGCCCGTGTCAATACCGGAGCCCTCTTTGCCGGAGCCTTCTCGGGAGCCTCCAGAACCAAGCAGCTCATCGATGCCACGAGAGCAGGATGCTTCCAAACCGCAGCCGCTTCAGCAAGTGGACTTGTCTTTTGCGAACATGTCGGGCAAGCCAATGCGGTATGTGAAGCGGACGATGGGTGAGGCCAAAAGGCTCCTGAGTCCTGAAGGGCTTGCCGAAGCAGAGAAAAGTGGCTACCGCTTCTGCTTGAAAGACAAAGAGAATCTGGCTCGATGGTTCGTCCAACTCAGGGACATCAACCCAGACGGCAAGCTCGCAGCGGACCTTAAAAAGCACAACTTAGATGCTAGCATAGACTTAGAGCTGGTGCTGCCGGATGGTTTCCCCATGGAGCCGCCTTTTGTTCGGGTTGTGTATCCACAGCTCAAAGGTGGCTTCGTGTTTGAGCGTGGGGGTATTTGCTTTGAGCCACTTACACAGAAGGGCTGGGCTCCCTCCATGACTTTGCCAACACTGGCAATTGCCATCAAGGGGATCCTGGATTACGGGGACGTGCGGATCGCTGGGGTTGGGGACAGAGCCAACAGAACTGTGGCTCATTACACAGAGGAGGGCGCTCGCAAGGACGACACTGCATCGTGCTGTAGCATGCTGTAGCCGGGAGTTCCTTTGAACGAGCTACCGCTGAAGCAAGCATAGCTGCGAGAGGATCACACAGCCATATCAGCTGCCCACCGTGGGGGGGCGCGGCGCTTAGAAAGATATGCTTTGTACATGGTTCCTCGTACGGCCCAAAACCCGAAGACCCCACGTGCTGCGGGCTGAGGAGAGCAATACTTATGGCAAGAACTACACCAGTTGACGAAAGAGATCCAGAAAAATGGGGGCCAAAAGGAATGTAAGCGTGCTTCCCCACATAGTTCTGAAGAATGCTAAGAAACAACAGTCATCATTTGGTTTACGCATGTGTTATTACGAGCGTTTCTACGAGCTGGGAATGATAAGGCTCTTGATTTCTTGCGGTTATTTAATTATTGTCGCCATGATCTCTTGATGATTTCTTGACGATCTCTAGATTATATAATGATCCCTCGAGCATCAAATATATTTATGGAGAATTTCTTGATTTCTTCATAGTAACAGATTAATGATTTTTCATATACTTATGAATATCTGAAATTGAAATCATTTCAATTTGGCTAATAAGCAAATTCATATTTAAATATATTTTTATTTTTAGGTCTATTATCTAATATTTTGATTATCTGTCGCGGATAGTATTAAATTATTTTGATAATTAATTATATGGTATTATTAATATTATTATTTTTTTTT